TCAAGATGTCACTGTACACTGTATACACAGCTTCAACACATTGGTAGAAATGTCCATCTATTATTTCATTGTGGTCTCGGATCAAGTGTCATATGCCACACATTCACTATGACAGTGTAAAATTCAAAACATCAATGCTAGAATGTCAGTTTCGATTATCTGCCAAAAAAATCCATTAGGCAGAAAAGTCTAAAGTAATGAGAAAAATTCTATGATGACATCGGGTGTTTGTATCAGGAGTGAGCATGTCCAGCTCGACAGGTATTCACACATTTTGCATGCAAAACTAAATGTTTATTTCTTGCCTAATTCCATTCTCTTCCCACAGAGGTTACTTGTCATATCTTCCTACGAACCTCTGTTCTAATCACGGCCCCTTCATGGTGCGAGTGTTCAGGATTCGTGATTGGTTGCAATCAGATTTAGTTGTGCAATCAGCTTAACGTTGTTTCAAAAGTGATCATTCGCAAGGCCTCAGTTATTTCCGTGATGCTTCGGGAAAACTAGAATCTCTTTCCCCGCGCCGATGTGCAAACGTTTCTTATAGACAAAACTCAGTCATGTCTCCATCGCCCTCGTTGACAACGGACAAGCTAGCCATTAAATGTCTTGTGTGTCCACATCAACACACGTTCCTGGCAGAGGAGGGATATTTGTGACCCAACATTTGCTTGTATTAGTCAAGTTGATGTAACACGTGTTCTGATTGGACAGAAAGAAGGGAGATAATTTGTGTTGCGATTTTATGCAGCTAGGGATTTTACGAGAACCGGAAATATGACTGTATTAGAACAGAGGTTCGTAGGAAGAAGTGACAAGTAACCTCTGTGGGAAGAGAATGGCCTAATTCTAGAATCGGTAATACTCCTGCCATATGAAAGGAATTGGGTAATGGTTGTATATTTCACATACTAATACATATAGCAGATTATCTACAGTTTGAGTGATAGATTTCACAAGGCATAGCGCTCCAGCTCAATCTTTGGCTGCATTACAGAAAGGTATGAACAAGGTACATGACAGCTGCTTCTTCACCACAAATTGGATAGTGAGGTACATTTTGTCACTTCTTTGAGTTTTACTAAGTAAAACATCCAGTGTTTTCAGGGGCGGTAGGGTAGCCTAGTGGTTAAAGCATTGTCACATAGAAGACACAGGTTCAACTGGTACAATGTGTGAAGCACATTTCTGGTGTCCCCCACTGTGATATTGCTGGAATATTGCTAAAAGCAGCATAAAACCCAATTCACTCACTCACTCCAGTGTTTTCATCATCTAATGTTTCAATCCATCCACACTCTATGTAACAGTTGACACTTAATATGGCATATACCAATTTGGGAATTGAACCCTGGTCTTTGGCACAACAAGCCACCACTTTACCAACAAGGCCGCCCTTCACTACAGGGCAATGAATGATAACCCATAAACTCAAACACTTTTCATATGGACAGACTTTTGGCTCTGTGTTTTAACACTTTTAGACAGCACCATTAGATAGGGTCTCTGTCTGGATGGCAGAGCCTCAGTGGTAGATCTCAGGCAATGTCAAACCATATGACTTTAAAAGATCCTACTTGTTATTGCCTTGCCTGGTGCTCTGTATTAACAGGATAGAACAAGAACTGGCCAGTTCAGTGTAGATAGACTGGGAGTGATGTATTCATGTTAGAATTGCAGCATGGTCTTTCCATGACCTGGCACTAAAATAAAATCGGCTTTAATACAGTTCATCTGACAAGATCGTTTGTCGTTCTGTTTTGTATTTACAATCAATCAAATAATTACGACAAAGAAATGGCATAACGTTTCTGTCTGAGTTAATGGTGTACTTTATAGCCACCATAAGCGTTGTGTTTTAGTAGAAATATACTTCCTCTGAAAGGTGGGTCCACATCTGGGACCCTCTAATAACCAGCTAGTAAGTGGTCTGCAGTTAAGTGCTATTGACAAACACATCTAACAATCATAAAGATTAAAGCTCTGTTTGTATTAACAGAAACGTACCACTAAACAGGATAACCAGGGCAGTTTTAATGATAAACCATCATATAACCAGTTTATCACTTTCACTGCGCCTTGTTTTCTTTGATATTTAACTAAACAGCATAGATCCAGTGTTATATAGGGTAAGGTTTCTTTGACTCTGAAACCATCTAATAATTCCCTACGGTGTAAGACCTGCAGTAGTGTGAACTAGAACGAGCACACACCTGCACACCTGCGCACCTGCATGCATCTGGCTATGTTAGTGCAATGATCTTGAAGCTGATATTAAACCTCTTTTTATCCATAACATCTTAAGATAGTTATATTGTGATGAACTTGTATTTGTTGATTTCTAGATGTTTTCAGACAGAAATCTTCTTGCAAAGCAGTTTAATAACATCATATTCTACAATTTGTTTTCACGATTACAGATTAATAAATCTTAATCTGACAAGCATTGTGGTCAAGTAGAGTTTATGAATTGACAGTAGTGAACCTCTGTATCAGCACATAATGGATACCCAATTAGACTGTTGCGATATTTGTAAATGAAAGCAACAAAATGCATTCCATAATCGTAAGACATCTTGCACAATTCCAACCACATCATAGACATGTGTCCATGAATCATTAATGAAGTACTGTCTAAGGGATTGAGCATGTATTGATGTCCTGGAATTCCACTTGTGTTGAGACAGTCACACAGTTCTCACCGTTAGATCGGGCCCAGCGGGAAATGACACGAAAACTGTCCTGCTGATGCTAGTGAATGGAAATGTGTGGAAAGAATGGAAGCCTGACTTTGTATTTGACGTACACATTGATTGACAGCATGACAAATGCATGAGGATCATAATTTCATACATTGACCTAAGCTTCCCTTGGGATCAATTGCTTCAAGCAAGCCATGCCTAGTTTGTGTGGGTATTGTCCATAGGTTTCCTGCCTTGGTCTGTTTGTGACATTGTGAGTTTGTTCCTCCATTATCCCCTAGGGATCTTCTGTTAGTGATATGCATAGCCAGTTTGTTGGTTGGTCTGGTTGACTATTATAATATTGGCTTGGGAAGGTCATGTGAAGGTCAGCATTTTGACATTGACCCATCACCACAAGGGGTCTGCCGATACTGTTTTGTATAGCCAGTTTGTTGGCTGGTTTCAGGGCTGACCATTATAATACTGGCTTGTGAAGGTCAGTATTTTGACACTGACCTATTACCACAAGGGGTCTGCTGATACTGTTTTGTATAGCCAGTTTGTTGGCTGGTTTCAGGGCTGACCATTATAATATTGGCTTGTGAAGGTCAGCATTTTGACACTGACCTATCACCACAAAGGGTCTGCTGATACTGTTTTTGTATAGCCAGTTTGTTGGCTGGTTTCAGGGCTGACCATTATAATATTGGCTGAGGTCAGCATTTTGACACTGACCTATTACCACAAAAGTGTCTGCTGATACATTATATATATTGGACCATTAATATTATTTTGAAGGTGAACAAAGTGTCTGCTGATACTGTTTTCAGTTTGTTGGCTGGTTTCAGGGCTGACCATTAATATTATTGGCTTGTGAAGGTCAGCATTTTGACACTGACCTATTACCACAAGGGGTCTGCTGATACTGTTTTGTATAGCCAGTTTGTTGGCTGGTTTCAGGGCTGACCATTAATATTATTGGCTTGTGAAGGTCAGCATTTTGACACTGACCTATCACCACAAGGGGTCTGCTGCAGTCTGTTGGTTGACCTAGAGGGTGACCATTGTATCATTTGCTTGTAAAGGACTGTTTTGTATAGAAAGTCATGTGAAGATCAATTTATTGTCACCACCTGCTGCACTGTTGGTTCATCTAAGAGCTTTATGCTACCAATAAAACACGTCATGTCTTCATAAACTTAAGAGATGCTGAATATGATGAAAGGTTGATTTTGTGATGCACAAATGTTTAAATTCTTTTACATGCACTTGGTACATAAAGATATAAGTATTAGGATACATATTTCAATACTAGTACCACTGGTGCTGTTCTATGTTGCTAATTCAAGTACTTCACTACAATATTTACTCTGAAATTACGGCTTTCAAGTTTCAAATTCAAGGATGCTTGTGACTGAATGAGATGTATGCCATATGCTCATAGTAACAGAAAAGGTCATTAGTGTGATTATTCTGGTTACAGGAACCGATATAAGATGTAGCAACATCATTCATCAATTATGTAAATCTGATCCTGGCTGGAAATGTAGGTTTATAGGGTGCTTGTGCTTAAAAATTGATTGATATTGATCAGTAAGGATTCTTTGTTCAGGTATGCTGGAAGATTCAGGATAAGGCTGTAAATCGAGAAAAAAATGGAAGCATGACATCTATGTTGAAAATAGTGGGTTTACCATGTTCAAATTAATCAAGTGATGCATTGTTATCCTTTTACTCAGATGTCATGTTATGTTCTTGTTTTAAAGGTGTTTTAATTGATATGCCTTAAATAATAAAAAAAGTGAAAAATAATGTAAGAATTTTAAGAATTGTGATTTGGAGCATTTCTTCACTTTTTTAAACATATATTTGAAGTCTTTTTGAAACCAATCATTGAAATGTGACATTGTGTTGGTGTGGGATCCTGTGTGTGGAGCTCAGGTCACAAATCAGTTGAAGTTAAGCAACATTGGGCACAGATAGTCCTTGCATAGGTGACCAAGTTTGGCAGCTTGAGAGTATCATTGACTTCAGATACATGTGGTCTCAACTTAGGCAAGTGAGTTTGTTCAAAAATTGTCTCTGTTCACCCAGCAGAAAATTGGTACCAGGTGGGATAGGTCATGTGACTATAACCTTCTAGCACCTAACAGGCAGCTTGGGTTATCCGAGGTAGACTTTGTGATGTACCTTTAAACAGCTTGGAGTTGGATACCAGGCGAAATAGAAATCCATTATATATATAAGTATTGGTTGTCATATGTGCTATGATTGTCATGTATGTATGCGATGGTTTATGATGATTTCTTTTCACAGATTGACTGAGATGTGTGAGTGAAGCTGCATACACCTTAGATGCGGAATCGGACAGTCATCATCTGAACATTCCGTCAGTCACGTCAAGCGGCAGAGCTACTGTCAGACTGTGAGGGGACTTCAGTTACATACGGTCAGGTATGCCTTGTCATTTAATCTTGACTGCCAGTCCACTGAAAATAAACACCTGTGTTTGATGGTGTCCAAAAATAGACCCGTGAAGGTCTGGGTTAGAATGAACCTTCAGTAACCCATGCTTGTCGTAAGAGGCAACCAACGGGATCGAGTGGTCAGGCTCGCTGACTTGGTTGACACATGTCATCGGTTCCCAATTGCGCAGATCGTTGCTCATGCTGTTGATCACTAGATTGTCTGGTCCAGACTTGATTATTTACTGACCGCCACCATATAGCTGGAATATTGCTGAGTGTGGCGTAAAACTAAACTCACTCACTCACTCTAAAAATAAGACAAACAAGAGACTGGTCTGATATACAGGCACCATAGGTTAGATGTTATGTCTGCAGCGTTTTCAGGGCAGTAATGTTTTGAAAATGTTTTTGTCAAAACCAATATTGAAATGTATATGTTTAGCTAATGGTCAGTATTTTAAATAAAGTGTTTGCTAAAAATTGTGCTCATTTATTTTGTGACTGTCTGTTAGGATATTCAAACACAAACTAATAACCATTTCTTACCAGTTGCTCTCCTGCACACTTTTCCTTTCCATTTACCCCATGAAAATCATACTTGTCACAAGAGGGGATCAAAGGGATCCGACTTGCTGATCTGGTCAATGTGTCCCAACTGTATATAGAGCAATGCTCATGATGTCTGTCACTGGGTTGTCTACTCCAGACTCAAATATTCATAGTATTCCACAGAGGTACAGATAAGCTGCATGTCTGTGTAAAGTACGCAAATATTTATGTGAAACCTCAATTCCTATTAAGCCTTTTGAGTACAAGTTGAATTTTTGTAAATACTCAATAAATGTGATCTTACGTGCGTACACACAAAAATGTCAAATTTAAGCTTGCGTACCGGTGGATAGATAAAATAACTGAGGTATATTGAGAGGTTCTATTTCAGGACGTGAACTTGGCAACTTGCAGTCTTTCTTATCGTTTCTCATATTACTGATCAAATGTAAATAACAAACACGTAAACCAACATTTAAACTTAACTATATTTGTACATTTAATGGGAAAGGGCAAAATTCCCAATTGAGTTTGAGTGAGGTGGGTACAATTATATGGTTACTCAAAGGAAAGTTAGGATAGCCAGTTGAGATGAACACAAGCGAGTGCATAACTCAATGACCCAAAAAGTTATCTGTAGCTCTGACTCCATCATGCAGCTGAAATATCACTTACTGTGGCATTATACAATAAACAAAGGATAAACAAAACATTTGTAATCTGTTTGGTTCAGACGCCATGTTTGAATAGACAGTGAAACCTTTATTTAGACTTTTTCTTAAGTCACTTTATGAACAAGATACAAACTTTCACCCTGTTATATTTTGAATACACCCTGTTTATTTCAGAACTACAACCTCAAACACATGAGGCGGGACTAACAAGAGAAAACCACCGTCACCCATTCTCCAAGGTCGCTACCGTCACCAAGGTCGGGACAATTACAGTTCAGTGTTTGTTTTTCCCCAACCGCCAAAATTTCGTTCAACACGTTTAAAGATAATTTCTCCACGGGCATGAACTTCCTGAAAAGGAGGTTCAGCTCGGGAGATCTACAAGGAGAATTACGGGATGAAGACTTCATCCCACCAGTGGCGCCTCGGAAAGGCCCGTCGCCAAGTGCCCCGAGCTAGCCTTCCAAAACTTCATCAGCGCCAGGCATTGGACGGGGATTTTTCTCGGCAAATAAACCCACATACAACCGAGATAGGTGCAAGACCCTACTGGTCATCGATGACTGTCATACAGATTGGTGAGTAGAAGACAGAGTTATGTCCCTTACTTCAGCTGATCATCAGTTCAGATTTGAGATTTGTCCTTAGACATTGACACAGCCCATTGGACTTGACCACAACATTAGGCTGGTATACTGTCATTATATATCATATTGTTTAAACATCTTCTTAGTCCCCACTTTGAAAATGAGTAAAATTCTAAAACCATCATGTATGCTCACATTGCAATGATGAATTTAGCAGAAATTCTGTTCTGTGTGATCTTTGAATGACATTTAAGAAACGAAGGAAAATTACAACTGAAAGTAGGTACATTGTAAATTTCAGTATATTATACAGATGACTAAATCAAAATTCAGAGCATTACTTTATGTATGTATTGAAAACAGACTGTGAATTTAAGTACATTAAAATAGCTTATAAATGATTGCAGGTATATAATGTTTTTATCAAATCACCAGTGATCATTCTGAAATGTTGAGAGTAGCACAGGAATTAGTTGAAATGTTTTAGAAAATACCCAACCACGAATGCCGAAGTGAATGTTCCGCCTATTGGATAGTGTTTCAAAAAATTATGGTTCACATGGGCCAGTATATTAGTACATCATAGATTTTCCACAGCTGCAACACATGATTAGTGAATTCATCTTACATTTTCAAATCAAATGTCAGATTATCAGAGCCATTAGTACAAATTGTCCAGATGAAGTACAACCTACAAAAATTAGGTGTAAAAACAAATGCTGAGCTCTGCAATCTCTACTTGTTTGAAATGTGAACAAAGCAAAGTTTAGATGCTGAACCTTATGGCATTTTCTCATATGATTCCTTCATCTACCAATTTCTTACACTGACTCCATGTTTTGAGACTATGAATAAAAGGGTATTATTGTAATAACTAGATATTTAAAAATACATAACAGTCTCTAGTTGAACTCAAAAGAAATGTCAAAGTTTCTGTTTTGGAAGACGCTAAGACTGATCCTAAATCATGCACATCAACAACAGTATTAATCTGCTTTAAATCAAAAACAGTTGGCAAATTGTCAGATATGTTTCTGAATTTTTGCAAGAAAATTGTCTGTACAAACAGTCCCTAATTAACAAAAAGGTTCTCTGCAACTCTTGCATACTGCTGTCATTGAACAAGCTTTTTTCTAAAGGTCAGTTGTGATGCCAAATAATAAATGTTGTTGTACATATTTTGACATGTCTTTGAGAAGGTTGAGTAAAATACACACAATTTTCCTATCCTGCTGCCTACAGTATGATATGTATGTCAAATGAGTTTCTTGACTGAACCACACTGTTGATATTCATCAATATTTCATATTCATACATACATCTAGGCCAAAGAATTATTTGAACCTTTGATCATCTCCTGTTTTTTCTTGTATCAGTTTTTAATGTATGATATTCATGAACTTAGTGTCCTCTCCCTAATTTCATACATTTAGACAAGTGTTAGAAGTGAACTGTAAATTTTTGAATGCAATTCCATTGGTTTGTAATAGTTAAAGACCCATTTTGATCCAGGAGATACAAGATGCTAAGCCTTCTCTTGGTATCCCCATGACACTGAATCTGAACACCAGGAAACCATTCTCACACATCATACATAAATCCTAAGAAAAAACTTCACAATATGCAGTCAGGAAGAACTGAGACTTTAAAGGACAACATGCTAAAGAGACCATGTGTCTTTAATACAGATCAGCTTCCCACCACATGTTGACATGCGAAGGTTAAGTGAAACCCAAGGGGCCATAGTTAATGCATTTAGGGACGACCTAGCTGGAAGAGAGACCCTGGATGTTATAATGTGTCTTGTCACCGACCTCCATCTTCATTAGCATCTCTCAGTTGGTAGAGGATGAAGTGGAGTTCTACTGGCTGACTGTGCTTAATTGAATATCGATGAAACAATAAGAGAGGTGTATTTTTGACATTACAAGGGAGAAGTCCTGTTTGATCCTTGTCATAATGTTCTCAGGATCATTAGGATTTGTCCTAGCTCTACTGGTCATCCTCTGGAGTCGTGTCTGGTTATCGACCAGTTGAGGGGTAAAATTGTCACGCATTATCTGTCAGCAGTCTGTCCATCATTTTACTCTTTTTGTCATTTTGTACGCTTATAATGATCTTCTAGAATAATTAAAGACTTAATTCTCCTCACAGGACTTATAATTAGGCCCTGGGTGTGTGTTAAAGTGGTGTCATGTCTGTAGAGCCTCATGCTGTTTGTACGGAAGCTAACTAACAGAGTAGAGTCTGCTTTCCTTATCATTCACTGGACAACTGACATTGGCAGTAGCTGGAGGTTTAAGTGCTCAAATTTGATATTAACATGTTCTAGACTTCCTTTACTTTTTTTATTCATTTTACTTTTATTTTATTCCATCAGTGTGGAAAGATAGCAGTAAAAGTATCAAACTCAGAAGGTTCTGTGTGAAGTGTTTTGTCAGAAATCAGGTGAAGTTTGGCAGTGTTGGTCACAGAGTGTTCAGGAGCTTGGATCATGAGAATTTCTATGGCTGAGGTACATATAACACATGTGGTGTCCCCTTAGACCAGTGACATGATTCAAATAGGGCCATGTTCACTCAGCAGTAAATGGAAGGAGGAGATGCATTTGCACTTTCTACCACCTCCCAGGCTGCTTTGATTGTATATTCAGAACTGAGATGAGAATGAAAATTGAGTGCACGTTCATTCCATGACTAGGGTAATCACAGATCTAGCATGGTTTAAGAGGATTTGAAGGTGTGTTAATTAGAAAAGGCACTACACACACATGATATAAAAAGGTGCTAAATACATTTCACAGAATAGAATTGTTTCAGTGTGATGTTCCCTTCTGATTTGGATATGACAGAGAAAGGCACAGTTTTATCTATTATGTCAGGTTTCATCAAGTTTGGATTTTTTAAAATTGTATTTTAATAATAAATCTGGCATATTGTATAGCTGTCCACAATGTCAATGTAAATCAATTATAGAGTCATGGATCATTTCAAATGTATTACAATCACCACCAGAACAGGGAACAGAGCATGGACGACAAGAAACAGAACGTTTCAACTGATCCCACCATGTTCCACCATCACTGCACGCACAATCTCACCAACATTCATCATATCCAAAACTTTGAATCCTGAACACAAACAACCATTTCTGACCAAGAAGACAAGCAACACTGAGTCTGGGTCGTGGAAACAGTATGAGGATCTAAACCGACAGAGCAGTAATGAAGTTGTTGTCCGTAAACATTTTTGTCAACTTTGTCATCTTTCAACCTCCAAGAAATGCCTTTTAAACAATTCATTCTGATTTTAATACCTTTATACCTGCTTCTTCTTTGGAAATGAAGGCCCAGCTCTCATTATCCACAAATTTTAACAATCTTAACACAAAGTCAATATCCATTATTTAGCTCCACCTGCGAAGATCCATGGCCTTGCGAGCGCCTGCAAGTCAAATAAAGTTTTTCCATTCTGTCATGCAGGTTCAGACGATTGGTTCATCGAGTATGCATAGAATGAAGTATTTGTGGTTTAATCAATGTCTTACCTGGCATGAGGTTACGGAATAGGGCAGAGTGTCAAATAGCTGTACATGGTAGGATATGTGTCTGTTCACAGTATTGGTAGGCCGTGGTAGTTGACGTAGAGGCTAATTGTAACATAAAACTTCATTGTTCCTTGGATTCTAGCCTTGATGTATAGTGTACAGTGTTGTCGGCATCGATTAAGCCAAGCTGTATTCTATTTATGTGATTTATTGCTCGCACAGGTTGAGATTTATTTCTTTTATGTCAGATGCAAGAAGGACATAAAAATTTTATTTTTTTTTTTTCTGAAAGTGTTTTATGTTTCTCTATAGACTGACATTTTAGTATTCACAACTGATGTTTTAGAACAATGCACACACATAGGTTTAAAAAATGCAGCATATAATCAACATTTCACCATATATACTGTGAGAAACAAATAAAGGATCACAGGAAAATTCAAGCATTCCTTTAATATTTTCCAGTTTTCATCACCACAGCGCTATTCAAATCTCTGGTGATGAAAACTGGAAATATTAAAGGAATGCTTGAATTTTCCTGTGATCCTTTATTTGTTTTTCTCAGTATATATTCTGTTTTACAACATTTTAAGGTTATTTTTGCACTTGGAAGGTAATTAGTTGAAACTGGTACACACAGAAAATTCTAGAGAATTCATTAGTCACACAGAACACCCACTTGGGAAAACATTTTGTGGGATACTGCTTAAAATACAGAATAAAACCAAAGCTGCTCACTCATAAAGAAACACATGGTACTTGAGACATAATCCTACAGAATATGACAGACGGAGACACTACATGTCAAGGGACTAGCCTTAACCCTCTCCATAGAATACGTTGCAGCTTTCTGTGATAGACTAAGTAAGATTAAGTAGTCAACAGAGACTTGGCCTGCATTTGTGGTACAAGCATTGTGTTATACTGTCCATCAGGGAGAAAATATTGATTGTACGAGATAGAACCCTGTCGTTAATTCTGGCTGCCCATTACTGAATACTGTAAGGAAGTAGGCTACGCATCAACGTATTATTCCATGATTGACATTTTTCAAACTTATGAATTCCTGGCATTAAGACTGAAATATTTATTAACTGGTATGTGTTTTGTAACATTATTTCCTAAAAAGGTACGTCCTTTTAGCTAATTTGCTGAATCAGCAGAAAAGGACAGAGGTGTTTCTCATATGCTTAAAGCACAGTCAGATGTAATTAGAGAGAGAGCTGGTGGTCTGACCATGTTCCAGGAGGGCGACCTTTTGTCTGGCAGATATTGTGTAGATAAAGCAGACCCATGATGCCATTGGTTGTCATTGTCTGGTTGTAGTAGTCAGTTTCATAGGCAATTTCTCTTGGTGGTCTGTCAACATATGGAGGAATCATAAAGGAATAGGTCCATAATTGTTTACTCACCTTATACAGGTGGGTTGAGGTGAGGTAAAGTGA